TGAGAAGCCAGAAAGTCCCAACTTATTTCTATTTAGAAGAGTTAATGTGAAGAAAATCTTTCATTAGACAAACTGAAATATTAAAAAAAAAAGTTTTAGGGGCAGGTTTGAAAAAAGCAGACTTGACTTGATGGTCCATAGGCTATGATGCCTACAGAATCTCTGGAGTGTCAGGCTCAAAGCAAAGCACACTGAAAATGCTCCTCTGGGGTAAGGTTTGAGGTGTGGGGGGCGAGGGGCACCCACACTTAACAAAACCTGCGAAGCCAAATCCATCTCCAGTCACTGCCACTCGTGCATCAAGCTCACGTGCAGGATGCACATATGTCCCCTGAGGCTGGCTCCTGTCACAGCTGCAGAGCCCCCACCCAACACTCTTCCACGTGGCCCTTCTGAACTTCCAGGTCCTGCTGGCCAGTCAGGTAACATTTTTAGGTTACAGGAAGACCATGTCTGAGCTGCAAGTGCTGAGCAGTGCAAATGGTGGCACAGTGACACTGGATGGATGCTGAAAAGTCACTTGCCCAGACGTACTGTAAAAATATCCAGGGAACGAGAGCACAGAGCTGGGACTAACTGGTGGTACTTGGGTACCAAGACTACCTGTCCTGCCCCCGAGCTGCCCCGGCCCCCAGCCTGTGCCAGCCGAGGCAGCTCCTGGTGAGCCCCGTGCCTGCTCTCGGCCAAGGGCAGGTGGCAGCTGCTGAGCCCTGTGCCCGCAGCAGCAGGAGCTGCTCCCAGGCAGGACCCAGGGCGGCGCAGCCCTCACAGCCTGGGCTTGGGTCCTGCCTGGAGAGGGTGCAGTGGAATAAGAGGGTGAAAGGAAGTTTTGCTTGGGAGGTAGGGAAGGGAAGACTACAGCAAGGACGGTGGATAGCTTTATCTCCTCTGAAGTACAGTACTACAGATTCCTGTAGGCCATGCTGTCTGCACATGCCCTAGAATATGCAATAACCTGAGTTGTGTTTGCAGCTCTGTTGGCTTGACCAAGTTGGTCTTGATGCCAGCCACAGGTGCAGCTTACTTTACCCTTCTGCTGAGAATGTTTTAGTAACTCAAGATGCTGCTCAAAGGAAGAGTTGGCAGCAGAGAGAGGAAAGAAGGGATTAAACTGCTTGAGTAGTGGGCACTGCAGCTCCCCGACACTGGCACTCTGCACAGGTGCCTGTCAAACCAGCAGTTTGCTGCGGGGAGGCGGCTGTGGCTCAGTACCCAGTCCTGTGGGGCTGCTGCTCCTTCCCCTTCTCCAGTGCAGACCTGGGACAGATGCTCTGGCCGGCAGGAGGTACCTGGAGGTGTGAACCTCTTCTCGGATGTGGCTGCGGCAAGCCCATCCTGAGGCTGAGCTCTGGTGCTGTTTTTGGGGTTCAGTCTGCTGGGGTGGCAGGAAGCTGAGGAAGCTTCAGGCTGCCACACCTTCTGTGTTGCTGCTTTTCATGTTGAAAGTAAGATTTATCTCCCTCGTGTTATAATTCATGGCAAATAAAGCTGGGCAGCAGCATATGCCAAGCACATGTAAACACATAAATGCACACAGAGCTTGTGACAGTCCTTCCCAAGGTGTGCTGCAGGTTTCTGTGAGCACAGGAGAGCAAGGACAGGATTTTACCCACTTCAGGACACTTCAGAGGTGTCTTCTAGCTTCTTTTCCTGTCTGGCGAGAGTCTAGTTTTTACTTCATTATCAGGGGGAAGCAGTAAGTCACTGCAACAGGAAAGCAGCAGCAAACAGCATTGCCAGAGGTGTTCCAGCAGAGCCCCGCGTGCTGCAAACACTTTTACCCCAATGCTTTTTAAATCTTCCATGCTGTCCCCTTCGAAGCAGGCATTTAGGAAATGCCAAGACTGCTGAGGATTGGAGATCAGCCATGGAGCCCTGCCTCACCCCATCACCACTGCTGGCAGGCAAAGCTGCTCCCAGAGTTCCTCTTTAATTCTTTCTATGAGGACCTGGCTGAAGAGGAAAAAAGTAATTCTGCGGACTTGAGAACAGAGTTTTCTCCACAGCATTTTGGGAGAGCTTTCCTGAGCAATAGATTGAACTATTTATAAGGTAGTCTCCCTATTACTATCATTACTATGCAATTTTTATTAGATAGAAGTAGCTTCTACCAAGGAACTACTTTGGAAAATAATCCTGTGTATTATTTTGCCCCCTTTGACTGAATCTGGCTTTTCAAATTGGACATTAATGGATAGCACAAAGTAAATTAAAATTGGGTTAAAATCAATCTTGTGCAACCAACACAAATGCCTCTGGGTTTGAATGATTTCTGTTCTTCCTGTGGCAGCTCTGTTTGCCCTCTCCTTCCCTGTGAGAGCTGCAGGGGGAACCGGGGACCTCTGCAGAGCTGGCCTAACACACAATAACTGAGACACCAACAGGAGTGTTAAAGGAAAGAACTAAAAAATAAAAACATATTCTAGTCCATTAATGCTTGTGGACATGCTTTTGTTTTCTGAGTGAGAAGCAAAGTTAGAGCTCATCATGTACTACTGGAGTACTTTTTAAATGTCTCTTTCCACACCAACAGCTGCTCTGCAGGTATGAGAACAAACCACGAGAGGCAGAGCTGGGGTGGCCACTGGCACCGTGCTGGGGGCAAGCACAGTGTGCAGCAGCAGGAAGGGAGCAGCCCTTCAGAGCAGATCCTCAGTTTGCTCTCTGGAGAGGAACCCTTGCAGGGCAGGCAAAGCAGGGGCTGGAGTTGATGAGCATTTGTAAGACCCCCCAAGAGAAGCAGGGCTCTGGTCTTGCTCCTGAAGGGCCTGCCTAATTTACCTGAGAGCAGACTATAGCTTCAAACCCATGACCAAAAGGTGTGGGGGAAAGCTGCCTTTAGGGAGTTTGGTTAGTTGTCAAGGGGAGGCAAGTATCAAAAACCATTCAATCATATTTAAGTGTAACATTTGGTAGTGAAATTTTATTTCCCAATGGAATATTGAAGTCCAGGTTTCCTGGTGGAGCATGACTAAGCTGCAGGTGCAAATGCCAAGGAAACTGCTCCTTCAAGGAAATTCTCACTAATTGCAGTGTTTACTCTGTGACTTGCTCAGAGGAGGTTTTACGAGCGATCCCACACCCCCTCCTGACAGCATGGAGAAAGGGTGATGGAGGACTGACAGGTCAAAAATCTCATCAGATGTGCATCCCCCCGCCTTATCAACAGCACTTTGGTTACCAGAACTGAAGATCACACATGGTTTGGCATCAGTACGTTTCACAGAGTTTACACTGGTGTGGCCAGACTGGTTAGAAGCCAGCCTGCTGTCCCATGGTGGGGATGTGGCCTGGGAAGTTCCAGAAGGAGCTGTGCTGTAGGTATAGTCTTGAATCTATCAAAGCATTACAAGCTGGAGCAGATCAGGCATCACATCCATTCCCAGTGTGTTTTGTATGTCTCCACTGCTGACCTCGGTGATTAAAAAGTTATCCAGACACATCTATGTGTCTACCCAGTCACTGGATCTCTATCTGCTCATCTGGAGGCTGTTCTACCATGTATTGTCCACTGCAGACTGGATTATTCCAGAGTCCAAGCAGCACTTCAGAGCACAAGCTGGATATAAATGAGGTCTGCTCTGTGAAACCCACAGGCTCAAGTTCCCCCAAGGGAGTTACCCATGTGTCTTTCTGCATCAAGATGCAAATTCATCTGCGCAGCCAGGCCAGAGACCATCCAGAGCCACCTCTGCAGACCCACAGAAAGGCAGCTGGGAAGAAACCACAAATTTCCTCTTGAGCGAGGTGTCTGTGCAAGGGCTGCCACCCTGCAATGGGGAACAGAAACTCCCCAGTGCCTCTCTGAGAGCCACTTCTCAAATGGAATTGCTATTTAAGGGAGCAGAAACGGTCACGTGCTGATGAAAAAGAGGAAGGGGCAGTTGTTTTTCAGAAGATATTTTGAAGCAGTCCTAGCCTTTGAGAATGTGCAAAGCAAGTTGAAATCAGCTGGGCAGAGCTCCATTTGGTGAACGAGATGCAAACAGGCGAGCTGAGGCTTTGCCCTTCTAATGCAGTTGCTGGTACATACATGCAGGGTTATGCTGCTGTAGGGACGTTTCTCAAAGAGTGCAATTTTTGAGCATGACCCCAGTAGCAACAACTTTTCCATGGTTTTGAGCAACAAATCTTTCCAGAGCTGCTCCTGGACTGCAGTCCCTGTGGGAGCCACTGCATACCACCTCACAGGGCATCTCTCCTGCCTCCATCCTCAGTGGGGCTGAGCGACCCGGGCTCCCCTGGACGGGGGTCCCCAGGGAAGGGCTGCCAGGGGGGCTTGTCTTGCATTTTGAAAGATTACTCTGAGCCCAGCCTCCTCTGGCAAACCGGGTACTCCAGCTCTTGCTTTACTGAATAACAGCTTTATCTCCCATAAACAAAGAGGAACCCAGTGGAGGCACATGTGGCAGAGATCTGAGGATCCCTCAGGGAGCTGGAAAGTGTCTGTAGTTCAGTGGCACCATCTGCATGTCTGTTCCCACTCTCCCTCCTGGCAGACAAGTGCCCATAAAAAGTGTTTGGGGGGGTTGGTACTGAAGCAATAGTTGCTTCTCCATCATCAGCTCGCTGCCAGGCCTCTGGCACCTCAGAATATCGTTGTGAAATATTTAATTGCATTCTGCCAGTGCCTCCATCCGAGCACCCGAGGCACCGTGACCAGTCCAACCTCACAGCATTGCTGGGAGCCAGGGCAGTGCCAACAGCCTCATTTTGCAGGTGGGAGAACCACGTTACTGAGTTGCTGCATGACCTATCTACAATCACACACGAGGATTTGCCTGCAGCCCAGGACCAACAACCCAAATGTCCACCCCTGGCCCCCATCTGTTACACCACCTCCCGTGGTGCATCTACTCACAGGCACACGGGGTGTCAGAGAAGCAGCTCCCTGACTTGGATGAGATTTCGAGCGTTGTTCCTCACCAAGTTCCCAGCTCCTGCAGGTTCTTCCAGCTGCTGTTTGGCACAGATTTGCAGGCAAATGGGCCGAGGGAGCTTCAGCGCTTTTGGAAGAAAGCAAATGCCTGTCTGAAAAAGGCCTGGAGGGGCAACAGGCTTGAGGAGCGCTGGGCTTTCCCCTCTGCCCCAGAGTCCACACAGTCCTGTCCTACCCTGGTCTCTCTGGATGACTTACAGTTGTTGTTGGTGTTGTGAGAGCACAGCTGGACCAAGTCCTCCTCCAAGGCTCCTGCCAGCTCCTTCAGCTCCCTGGAGGTGTCTGCCCTCAGGTACTGCCAAGCCTTGAGCCCGCTGTGGTCCCTGCAGCTGGTGTCTGCTCCGTAAGCTCCCACCAGCACTTTGATGAGCAGCTCGTGTCCCTGCATCGCAGCCAGGTGCAAGGGGGTGAAGCCACCGCTGGCCGTGGGGATGTTCACATTGACAGGATAGCCCTTCTTCTGAGCATGGGAGATGACCTGGATGAAGTTTTCATAGTGGCCGTGCTTGGCAAGCCAGTGGAGAGCGGTGAAGCCCGTCACAAAGTCTTTCCTGGTCAGCAGGCTGGGATCCAAGTCCAGCAGCCTCACAATGTTGTCCGCATCACCCTGGGCCACTGTCAGCAACCACTCGTGCTCCAGGGGTTCCAGGGCAAGGGACAGCACTTCAGAGCTCTGCTCAGGCTTCTGCTCTTGTTGCAGCCCTGCAGAAAGGCTGCTGCCGTTGGATGTCTTCTGAGCGGTGGCAAACCGCTTGGTGCTGCTGGGCCTGTTGCTCTGCAGGAGGATTTCCTTCAGCTCCTTCCTCCGGCTGCTGCCGGGCCCGAGGGAGAGCCTGCCGGCCGTCCGACCCCAGCTCCCCGGGCGCTGGCTGCTCTGGCTGACGCTCCTGCTGGTGTCCATCTTCTGCAGCGGATGGAAACGCTCCCTGCTCCCCGCGGCGGCCGGCCAGAGGTGAGACCTGCGGGCCAGGCTCCTCACCTGGGGCTGGGCGGCTTCCAGGGAGTC